CCGCATCAGAGTTGTGTTTGACCTCCGGGGGGCTGGGGCGGGCATGGCCAGGATGAGTGTGGCCAACTCAACGGCACTCATGTCAGGGGCGCCTGTGGCAGTCTGGGCACTCTACCAGTGAAAACGGGCTCCCAAGCTCCGTTTTTGGCTGCAACGGCCTCCTGTAACCCTCTGCCAGTGAAAACACAACTTGGGGGGGGGGGCACGGGCCTTCCAAAGCTGTTTTCACTGGCAGAGGCACCACAGGCCTGTCCTTCATTGTTTCCAGGGCGGTCCCATGGGCCGGATCTAAGCACCCTGTGGGCCAGATCCAGCCCACGGGCCTTGAATTTGACACCCCTGCTCTAGAGCCATACCTAGCACTTTTTTTTTCTTAGTAAATCTCCTTTATGTGTCACCTAAATGTGCCCTGTAGAATTTTCTTGGAGGCTCAACGATTCGGAAAGCAATGCCTGTCATGTCTTCCACACCCTGATTGCTCAGATACAGGACAGATATCAAGTGCGACAGAGGAGAAACCTGATCACTCGGTTACCAATCGTAGGAACACATCAAGTTACGATTTGCTGAACTATATTGTTGAGTGCAGGCATCACTCTAAGAATTAAACTATGGCTTGATTCACAAAATATGGTAAGCTAAAAACAAAACTAGCATTGTGTAGACTAGAGCTATGGATGATCAGCATCAAACTGACATTCACTGCTTAAGTCACAAATGGCTGTGTTTAGGGCAGAAAATTTTTAAACCTAAATCCAGGCTCAAGTTAACCCTCCATTAGGGAAACTTGGCTCATCATATCTCACCAGGTTGTTTGTGGGGGGAGGTATTGTGCTAGGATTACTACTCAGAGCTCAAAGTGGAATAAAGAAAAGTTCAAAAAAAGATTAGATTTACGTCTCATTTTTTCCTCCAAGGTGGTATACATGATGAATTTCCTTCATTTTTCTCCACAACAGGATCACAGGGGGAGATAGATTATCAACAGAAGGGAAGAAGTAAGTTATGAAGGAACCAAGATAGCGCAGTGGTTAGAATGCAGTATTGTAGACTAACTCTGCCCACTGCCAGGAATTCGCTACTGACCGGCTCAAGGTTGACTCAGCCTTCTATCCTTCCAAGGTTGGTAACATGAGGATCCAGAATTGTTGAGGGCAATATGCTGACATAGTAAACTGCCTTGGGAGTGCTGTAAAGCACTATGGGGCAGTATACTGTATAAGTCTAAATGCTATTGTTATTGCTATGTTAAGAAAGTGGCTTATTCATTGTCAACTAATGATTCTCTAGAATCAAGAGGTACAAGAGGGCTTATACCAAGGTCTCTACAGTTCTATCCAAATCATTAACCACAAGATAATACTAGAACAGTGATTAAATGTATTGCAATTTTAACAGAAGAGATTTTAAAAAATGGCAGGGGAGGGTAAATCTGTTGGCTGCTTGACATAAAGGATGGATGCAGAAGATATACAAGATGTTACCTGAGAAGTCATATCTGGCAGGGCCCATCCAGCGTTTCTGTTCACTGTCTTTTAATACATCTCCATAAAAACCATATCCCAGTAATGATACACAATATTTCAGAAATGTATTATTGCGATGTACTGAACAAACGTCCAGAGGTTGATTATCTCCTATTAACAAGAGATATTTCATTACTCTTTCATTACTCACCGTAAAACTGACTTATATCGAAACATATAAAATATATTCATTTATAAAACATTGTAAAATATTAAAAATTGTCTTATTTTTTAAAATAAGATTGCAAAATAAATTCCCATTCTCTTTATATCTATAAAAGGTTGTGCAGTGCCTGATAGAATAGTTAAGATGGAAGATCTCTAATTCAAATACTGAAAATGTGTTAATGAATAATTACTTAGTTAAAAAGCTAAGTGTTTGCTATTATGACTCTTGTGATGCTATACGCAAAGCAATTCATTCTAGTTTTACTCATTTACCCATAGTTTCACTCATTCAAGAAAACCCAAATGCACAGGTTTAAAAGAGGTGGTATCTGGTTCAACAGTAGTGCCTGGGTGAGGGATCTGGGTCTCTTATTGGACAAGCACTTAAGTATGAGTTCAGTTGTGTGCTGCAGCTGCCAAAAAAGCCAATGCAATCCTAGGCTGTATCAACAAAGGGATAGTATCAAGGCCATGTAAAATAATCATACTGCTTTATATTGCACACTTGAAATTATGGTCATCGTGATACAAAAAGGGTGCTGAGATTTTAGAAAGAGTGCAGAGAAGAGTAACAAAGAGGATATGGGGTATGGAGGCTAAAGCCTATGATGAACAGTTGTGGGAACTAGGTATGTATGTCTAGTCTAGCCAAGAGAAGAACTAGGGTTGACACAATAGTCTTCCAGTACTTGAAAGACTGTCACAGAGAAGTGGGGTCAACTTATTCTCCAAAACACCCAGTAATGGATGGGAAATTATCAAAGAGAAATCTAAGGTCAAATTAAGGAGAAACTTCATGACAGTGAGAACAATTAATCAATGGAATGGCTTGTTTCCAAAAGTTGGGTGTATTCCATGACTGAGGTTTTCAAGAAGAGATTGGACAACCATTTGTCTGGAATGGTATTGGGTCTCCTACTTGAGTGGTGTGTGTGTGCGTGTGTGTATTAGAAGACCTCCAAGGTTCCTTCCAGTCCTGTTACTCTATGTTCTAGTTCTAGTGAGGAGCATTACGATGCTCCTATACTAGGATAATGATCATTCTGTCCTGCTTATGATTAACATGGAATGAAGGAGGAAAATACACATAGTCTGAAAATATATCCTGGAAAACTAGGATCCCTGGAATAGTGATTGTGCAGTAGTGATAGTTGTGTACAACTATGAATCAGCTAGAAGTTGCTCACATGCAAGGGTAAAAAATAACCTCAATGAGCTATGCATAACACTGGTGCTTCCATAGAACAGATGATGCTAACATTGTGATGTCTATCAGCTGCACTTTTGAGTGATAAAGTGAAGTGATTCCTCAGTATAACTTTCTGCCAGCAGAATGCTTTCATGATCATATCCAACTGCCATATCTTCTATGCCACACTCTATCATAAATTTTAGTGGAATAGCAAGGCTTTTGCAAAATCCTCAGCTGGCGTTAATGACGTCTTAATGGTCAACAACTATATTCTGGTTTTGCATTTGATTTTTTTCATTTGCCAAAAATAGTAATGACACCATAAAACTTCCTAGAGTGTTTAAAATTGTGTCAATGAGCCTTAAAGCAAACCAATGCTTACCCACAATGATATGTAATGCAGATGTTACTGGATCATTGATGCCAACTGTTGCATAGCATATGCAATCGGTCGAACCTGGAAAGTAAGCGAACTTTACGTTGTTTGCAATTCAAAAACATTATGAGGACAAAATCATCTTAACTGAGGATTAAGTTACCAAACAGAGCCACAGATTTCAGTTGTTTGGTCAGTTATGTGGCTTCTGGATCTACCATATTGTGCTACTAGAGACCTTGGGAGGTGGCACAAGAAATGCTACAAAGGGAATGGTCATCTAAGAGATGGCATAGTCCTCAGCTGCATAATGAGCAGAGAAAGAGGCTCAGAAGGGACCCTACCCAGCTTCTCAGGATGTTAAGGAGATGGTAGGAGATTTGTACTTTCAGACTTCCAAGATTCTGCTAACATAGTTTTACAATGAAGTAGAACTAGCTCTTCTGGCTGTGTTTCCTGTATGGTTTAACTGGGAACACTAACAAACTGGAACCCTCTGCCAAGACTGGAGAAAAATAACTATACTTCATGTGTACTTTAAACAAAAAGTTGTTTTGTCAAATAGACAAATAAAAATATAAATAATAAGGGAAAGGGAAAGGTTCTCCTCACATATATGTGCTAGTTGTTTCTGGCTCTAGGAGGCGGTGCTCATCTCCGTTACAAAGCCGAAGAGCCAGCGCTATCCGAAGACGTCTCCACGGTCATGTGGCCGGCATGACTAAACACTGAAGGCGCAGGGAACGCTGTTACCTTCCCACCAAAGTGGTCCCTATTTTTCTACTTGCATTTTTACATGCTTTCGAACTGCTAGGGTTGGCAGAAGCTGGGACAAGTAACGGGAGCTCACTCCATTAAGCGGGGGTAGGGATTCGAACCGCCGACCTTTCTGATCGACAAGCTGAGCGTCTTAGCCACTGAGCCACCGCGCCCATAAATAATAAAGGTGTTAAAAAAGTAAAAAGTTAGACGAAGCATAGTTAAACTGAGCCAACTATACTTTTGGTTACCTTTTACACAATAATGACTGCCAATAGATCCTCTGCAAGAGAATTAACATCAAGGCAGAAGTCAGTGGAACACATCCACAGCACAGGCTGTCAGCCCATCAGAAAGCACAGGTTTAATTGTATTGACTGTTGACTCGAACACTTACCCCCTTCTAACAGAAACTATAATTCACAATGGTCTCTGAGCAACAGAGGTATATTTTCAGGCTGAAAATAAAGAGCAGGGGAAATCAATTTTCTGGAAAAAGCGCCTTTCTTCCAATCCTTTAGAAAAGTATATTCTGGTAACCACATTGGTATCTAGTGCTCAATTGTAAAATAAGAGCAGCCAGAGATTAAAAAAATAAACTTGAAAATGATGTAGAAACTACCATTAACTCAAGAAAGTGCTGGGATGGCATACCATCTTTGGCTTCAAAAATTCAGCCGATGGCTAATTGGCACCAAAGATACAAAACATTCTTTGTTGGCAAGGATGAGTGGGATTTTTGCAGCCCAGATAGACTGCCCTAGCATTAGGCCTGGTTTGCTTTCCCCTTCCATGCAAATGCTCTTTTCAAGATTTAAAGTTCTTCAAAATTAAAAAGTTTTTTCCTTCACCTGTGCCTTCACACACAATAATGACAAGTCTTCATAATACAGTCTGCAGTGCAGCAGATGGCAATGGTAAATTGGGAATGCTCTAATTATGAAAGAATGTGCAGATAGAATTTATGCTAAAGAATCAGAGTTTCTTAGCTTTTTAAACCTCCTTAAATAGTTTAAAATTGAGATGGGTATGTATTTCTTCCTGCTGATTCCTCTCTATATTGTGGTCTTTTAATTTGTTTTTATCATAAAGTTTAATTTTGTTGTGAATTGCCCTAGGAATTTCCTGTTGACCCCATCTATGAGTAACTGAGCAATTCTGTGCCCGCTATGCAAAGAGGTTTAGGATATGGGCAAATAGGAATAAGGTTACTGACTAAATAAATATACGCTTGTAAATTGATTTCTCAGACTGACCTGCCAATGGTTTGCATTGGAGGAATGAACAGTAAAAACCCGAGTTAGTCAAAGGATAAGCATAATTCTTTCAATTATATATTAACAATGCTTTTAGTTCTCTAAGTTGAATGTAACTAAAGCAAAAGCTTAGAATGCCAATTTAGAATGAATACTCTATACCCGTGATGGCGAACCTATGGCATATGTGCCACAGGTGGCACGCAGAGCCATTTGGGCGGGCATGCAAGCCCCAGCCAAACTTACCTGCACTGCACATGCATGTGCCTCCCAGCTGATTTTTGGCCCGTTTGAGGCCGTTTTCACCCTCCCGGAGGCTCAAAGGAAGCCTCTGCAGCCTCGGGAGGCTGAAAAACAAACCTTCCGGAAATACCGTAAGTGCCCTTTTTCAACCTCCGTAAGGCCCCGGGGGCCCGTTTGAGGCCGTTTTTGCCCTCCCTGGGGCTCGAGGGAAGCCTCCGCAGCCTTTGGAAGCCGAAAAAGGGGCCCGTTTCGGCCTCCAAAGGCTGCAGAGGCTTCCCTCGAGCCCCCAGGAGGGTGAAAACGGCCTCAAACGGGCCGAAAATCAGCTGGGAGGCTCACACATGCTCACAGTGCAGGTAAGGGGGGATTGTTGCACGTGCCTGTGCAGGGCGACGGGGCGGATTGCATTGTGGGTGCCGGCACGCGCATGTGGGTGCCGGCACGCGCATGCGCGTGCTATCACTCGCGTGCACGCTTCTGTCACACCACAACAAAAAGGTTCGCCATCACTGCTCTGTATTGTGTGCTTTTCTTCCTTAGACCTTTTTATACTATACTGTACTGCTAATTAGCATAGTTTGGATATATTACCAGTGGCCAAGGTCTCAGGTGAGTTCTACAATAAATGAGAACTGTGATACAGAATGTACTTTTTATGTCTTTAGAACGAGAGAATTTTGTCTGCCCTTCTGGATTTCAAGTGGCCCCTCCAAAACAAGGGAATGAGCATGGCTATAAAGAGTCTGGGGTTCTTTGAAGGTTTGATGATACCCATTCCTTGACATCCTTTGAAAACTGATTGGGACACAAAATTTACAACTCTTTACAGACTCGGATACATTGACTGAATCTCTAGAAAAAGGCCCTGGGCTCTACTGTTTCTCATCGGATTCATCCAATCAATAAGCTTGGGTTGAAGTTATAGAAGCCGAGGAGAACATTGCCTTTCCATTCATGTTCATGTCCCAATTGTACCTTCAACAAATGCATATGTTGACAGGTTTCAATAAATATTAGGCAATCTAAACTAAGCCCATAGTTCTAGGCAAGATCCAGTATTTGTTGAGACTCCTAGCTAACCCTTATGCTGTCCCACGTATATAATATTATTTTTTCATTTTGGTCCAAGGTGGTAAATACATGATAACAATGTATGGTAGACATTCACCATGTTGCAGTTCTTACCAGCAGGAATTATGCCAATCCTGAGACAGCACTGGACTAATTGTGCTTTGGGATTATTTTGATCTATGCCCGAATCCTTCTGAGATCTTCCAATTAGACCATGTATCACTTCACTGAACATTCCGTCCCCACCAACACAAACAACACTGCCGGAAAACACACAAATTAAAACTCACACTGACAGTCAATACATAAATGTGTCAAAGGAGTCAATGTGAAAACAATGCAGTTTTATTCAACGTTATCTTTATGCTTCACTATTTAGTCCCCTCCTCATGGGGAAATGATATTCTCACTTGAAACAATTATTTAATGCATATTTAAAATAATTTAGTTAATTGGGCTGTGACAGACTCATTTTTATTATGATTTTGGATATTTAAAAGTGATAATTTCTTGCTTCTCCTGCTCCGGCATTAACATCTCGCTATGGAAAAGGGGGTATTGTTCTAACAATGGTAAATTTCATCCAGATTCTTATCATTCATAAATACTTCTCTTTCATAATCACTAGAGCCTATTGCTCTTCTCTCCAACTCTATGGTTTGTCTGTAATAACAAAAGCTACTCAAGATATACATGCAGATGGGAAATCATGTCAACTGTCTATTCCCATGGGCAATATGGAAGCCTTGTTCTTTGGGCAGATCTTATCCATATATTTGATACTTTGTGCCTTTTATGATTGGATATTGTGACTAGACCCCAATTTTCCCATGGCTGGATCATATGTCAATTGCTACCCCAGCTGGATATGCCTACCCGTGGAAAAGCTTCTTCTCCTTGGCAAGGATACTTACAAGATGTCCTCCCCAAGGGGTCATCTCACATGGACAGATTCTGCTGTGACAGTAGTATGATTAGAATCATCCACTCATATATGGATACTTTAAGGATTATGTTGATTCCATGAATGGAGGCCCACTGAGAAATGTAATGGTATGATAAGTGTATATAAGAATATTTGAAAAGTGTTCAGTTTGGGGACTTATTTGTGAATTGGGATCACCAGCATCAATAGATTCAAGGCATGCATCCCACTGGCATTCAGTGACATGCTTCTTGGTGTTACAGTTGGTTTGAGTAGCTGTCATGGCTCTTAAATTCTGGTGCTTGGTTTATTATAATGTATGACTGGAATGTGCTCTCCAAATGTTTTAATTGTAACTTCCTTAGGACTAGGAATTGTAAGTAATTTTTATAATTATTTGGAATTATTAATTATACAGTCCAAAGTTTCTCAAGACAGCAGATTACCTAATACTGATATATTGGACAGATTAGACAACAGTTGCCCAACCAACTGGAGGATGGTAAGAATTAAAGGTCAATACAGTTGAAAGGCACCAGATCACACAAAATTCATTTTGCTTGCTGTTGATTTTGTGATTGTTGAGTTGCTATGGAAGTCCTGTGAGGTACCAAAATATAAGTAATGCAAAATAAACAAATACAGGTAGTCCTCATTTAACAAGTGCAATTGGGACTGGCAGCTTCATCACTAAGTGACGTGGTCATTAAGTGAGATTTCACATGGGTGCAATGGACTTAACCACCTCATTTCTCCTGTGCTAGTTAAGTGAATCATCCACGGTCACCAAGGGCAACTTCATGTAACTTTGACTTGTGAGTTTACTGTTGGCTTTCCCATTAACTCTACTTTTTGGATGCTAGCTGTGAAGTGTGCAAGTGGCAATCCCGTGAACGTGGGATGCTGCGACAGTCATGTGAGGGCCAGTCATGAAGCTACTTTTACAGTACCACTGTGACTTTGGATGATCGCTAAACAGGGCAATTGTTAACTGAGATCTACCTGTAACTAAAAATAAATAAAGTTGATTCATTATGTATTAATTAGATTGACATCTGCCTTTCAATCAGTACAAGATGCCGTATATAGCATTCCACCCTCCTACCTTTTCCCATAATAACAAGAATAACAACCCCTGTGAAGCAGTGGTGGGAATTCAATTTTTTTTACTACCGGTTCTGCATGGCTTGGTGCGTGTGGCAGGGGAAGGATACTGTACAATCTCGACTCAGAGGTGGTATTTGCTGGTTCTCTGAACTACTCAAAGTTTCCACTGCCAGTTCTCCAGAACTGGTCATAACCTGCTGAATACCAGCTCTGCTGTGAAGTAATAATAATAAATTGAAGTTATATGCCACCCAATTCTTAACAAGTCTGGGCAGCTTTCTGGGTGGGGAGCTCAAAACTCATCCAATAAGCTTCCACGGCTGAGGGAAGATTGGTATCTGACAATTTTCCTTGGCTATCTTGCCACAACTGACTTACCCTGGTCAACATATCACAGAACAATTCAACATGGGATAACCCAAGAGAGGGACACGTGGACTATAGTGGGCCTTGTCTTGCTTTAGGTTTGAACCTTCTCAAGTTTGAAATCCTTGAGGCTAGGCTGAGCCAAAATGTGGAATACCAGCAGCCCATTGATCAAGGCATGGAGCAAGCGCTGAACACCTGGCAGTCCCTGTGTGGATCCAGGACGCGGGATCTCCCGTGATACAGGACCAGTACCTCAATGTCAGCAGAGCAGCTGGCTCTCACAGCGGACGCTCCAGGAAAAAACAACGGAAGCAGGTCTCCTCTCATAGACGCACTGCGCCCTTGGCCTGGATCCACGCAGGGACTACCCACTGTGCTGCACTTGCTTCACAACTTGGCCGATGGGCCACTGGAACTCCATGCTCTGGCTCATCCCAGCCTCAAGGGCTTCTATCTTGAGAAGGTTCAAACCAAAAGCAAGATGGCGCCCACTGCATTTCACTTGTCTTCAGTTATCCCATGTTGAATTGTCTTGCGGCGACATGCCCAGGGAAAGACATCTGGGGAGAGTTGTCCCATTCCGATCCGGATCTTCCTGCTTTTAGACCAATATCTGAACTGTTTGTGGAGCCCTACAACACTGGCCAACTCAGAATCACTTGGATTTAATGAAAAATGTTTACTTCTGATAGGGTAATGTTTTGTAGAAAAAGGAAGGTACTGACTAATAGGATGCTGGGTTGACACTTTGGAAGCCTGTGTTCAAAGCCCAAGGGCTGCTGTATGTGAGGGCAAGCTCCTGTCATTCACTCCAACCTGCTCACCTAGCAGTTCGAAAGCATGCAAACGCGAGTAGATAATTAGGTACCATTTCAGTGGGCTCATTAAGAGGGACATGAAAAGAGCCCCGGAATGGGCGTTTCCTGGCCAACAGTGATGTCACCGGTTAATTCTTTCACCACGGTGCTTTTGAAGTAGTAGCAGTATGTATTTTGCAACAATTGCCAAAGTAATTCTCTCACATAACTTACACCAAGAGAACTTAACAGCCAGCTTGGTATGTGGTGGCTGTGGGGCCAGTTCCTCTCCTTCAGCCTTAAGTAGAAGGCAATGGCAAACCACTTCCAAAAACCTTTGGAAAACCTGTCCAGGCAGTTGCCAGGAGTCAAAACCGACTCAACATGCATACACACACGTATATAATTAAGGGGGAGTTACTCTCTCCTTCATGTGTTTCCCCCTCCTTGAACTCAATATTCCCTTCCGTAATAAATCTGTTTCCTCCCTGAACTATCTTGCTCTCTCTTCTATATTCCCAAGATCTATCAGGCTTTTCCCTCATGCTACCGCTCCTTAATGACTCTCACTTTAGTGGTAATTAAAAAAAAAAAAACACCGTTTCCAGTGATTTGCTAGCACTGGGTATATCCCTTAATTTGGACTCATGGGAATAATACTGCTCCGTGGAAAGCCAAACGTATTTTGTCAGTGAGCTTCAGTGAAAAGTGGGGCTGTGCCATGAATCTATGGGAAACTGTATTTGCTTTCCTGAGTCATCTTTTGTTCAGGTGAATACATGGAGTAAAGGACGGGAACTTGTTTTTTAAACACAGCACAATCTTGTTTGACGCTTGGCTGTGCAAAATGCACTGGAATAAATGAGAAGAGCTCTCCCATTCACTCAGAGGAGACTTGCACAGGAGTAAATATAATCTTTGGCCATAGCACAGGTGTTTATGTGCCAGTGTCATTATTTTTTAACAAGCAAATCCTGTTGGCCTATTTAATGACTTAAGGTGATTCATTATGGAATTTGTTCTGTATTTGTCTGTGAAAGCAACGCATGGGCTCTGCTGTTTTAATCCAATTGGGGCAAAGCCTTGACCTTGCCAGAGGTAAATGGAAATTATTAAAATTGTCTTATAGCATAAAATATCTTCAAAGCTTCTTTTTTTAAATAAAAATAAAAATAATAATGATAAGGATATATGCTTGGCAGGCAAAGAACATTTTCATCAATTAGAAAATAAAGCAAAACACCCAAAGGTGGAGCAGTTGTTATTTGCAAAACTGCTAAAGGAAATGCTATGCTGCTGACAGATTGAGCCGAAACTGTATGAGGTTAGCACATACTGCTCTCCTTCAAACAAAAACTAATGGATGATTTCATTGCAGACTGTTTAGTTCTCCAATAGCTATTGCGACAAAAGACAGAAAGCTATGCAGGTTGTGTTCGGCTGGAAGAAAATCTTGCTTTTCTATCAGTGCTACATTTTTGCCTCTGTAAAAAAAATATAAATATACATTTCCCAGTTGGAAATTTGGCAGCTTTACTTGGAAACGTTTATATCCTGCAACAATAATCTTTAATGATATCAAACATCCACATCTGCCTACCCCAAGTACTTGAGAAGGACTTGCAGCGGTTAAAAAATGCTAAATCCAGTCTGAACATCTGGCCGTATGACAAACTAAAATAATAATAAATCTATATGCTGATCAATTGCCAGCCACTTGGGGTGGTGCATTGGTGTCATGCTGACTCTCAGGGAGAGGAGGAACAGCCAACAGGGAATGGAGGTGTGGCTCCGGAGGTTGTGGAGGAGGCTGGAGAAGGGCTGAGGCCGGCTGGGCAGTCAGAGGAAGAACCAGGCCCATCCCCTCTGCATCCTAGGATACGCAGGGAGGAACAGAGAAGGCAACAACTTGGCTTGCGAGAGAGGAAGCGGCCATGATCCTCCTCATTGGTTACAGCTGGGGAGACGAGTATGTAAGAGAGACAGTTAGAACACAGGTTGCCAGAAGCAAGCATGTTTTATTTTGGTTTGAGGTTATCTTGGTTGACATCCTTCGAACAGACTATGCCTTGTTATCTCCTTGAATTTGGTAAATATTTCTCCTGTTCCGTTGTGGACATTTCGTCATTGTAGTTTGTTTGGTTTTTTATTTCACCTCTATCTGCACATTAAATTCGGACTGTATTGCTTTCTTTTGAAGACTATTTTTGAGTACGCTTTATCTCCAACTGAGTATTATTGAACAGTGGGGCCAAGTTGGAGGCAATAAAGGACATTTATTTACGTTTTGGATTTTGTTACGTTTGTGTTACACTTTGAGTCATCACAATTGGCTTCCTTCTTTTCTCACCAAGAATGCTTTGGCCCTCATACAGGCCTAGTAGCCAGTCTTAGAAATAAATATTGTGAAGAACTACTTTCAAACTAAACTGCATGGAATAAAATATAGAGGGGTTGGGTCGGGGCAGCGGGAAATGTTCTGGAATCAGAAGCAGCTTATGCATTTTGCTTGTTAATATGTACACGATGTGAGTTAACAAGTTGATGGGTTAGTTTGGATATGTCATGTAGGCTTGTGCTGCACGGTTTTCTCTAGTGCAAATTTGTATCTTCTGTCTATGTGCCTGATTCTAAGCATCAGCTAGCTGTCTGTCTGATATGAATTATAAATGTTGTTTCTCATGGAAACACATAAAATAATGGGATTCAAAGTCTGCTCTTGCCTTGTGGGATTCAACTGGTGTAACAACCGATTCGATGAGCACGCACTTTGCATGCGCAAAAAATCACACGCGCATGCGCAGGGTTGTGGGATTCAACTGGTGTAACAACCGATTCGATGAGCATGCACTTTGCATGCGCATACATCACACGCGCACACGCAGGGTTGGAAAACCGCCTATTTTCAGCTCTAAAACTTATCTTCTTCTGCAGCCCCGGTGAGTAAAACAGCTGATTCGCGTGGCAATCCGCCCGTGCTGTGCGAATCAGCTACGCTGCAAAACACAGAAATATAGGACAGACTAGGGCAGGGGTGGATGGGCGGGGCCAACTGATCACCGGAACTACCGGTTTGTCTGAACCGGTCCGAACCGGCTGAATCCCACCCCTGCCCTGTACGTATTACTTTTCTTCGGGAACTGACTTGTTTTCAACTTCCCCCGTTTGCCTTTCAGATAACATTCCAAATAATAATAATACGCTTCAGGCCAGATGTCTGTGAGAACACATCCAAGGAGTTTTCTTTGGCAAGGCCAAATCGTAGAGCTAGACCGCAAATTCGAGATACTATCCCAGAAAAGGCTAGGCATTTGTGTAAATGCAAACAACATGTAAGTGGCTGTTGAAAGTCCAGCTCAATATGTATTTATTTATGAGATGTATATATTGCCACATTTGGTTTGAGGTTTGGAGTTTCGAAGAGGCTTGGCTTTATTTGAAAGAGGCTTGGCTTTATTTTATATTTGTGTGTGTGTGTGTGTGTGTGTGTGTGTGTGTGTGTGTGTGTGTGTGCGTGTATATGTATGTGCATGCCACATGTACATATATGGGTACAAGCAGGTGCATCTGCTTCAGAATTTGTCAACGTGTCCTTAACTTTCCTAACATTGTTTTTTATTTCATTTACATGACCCTGCCTGACAGGTTTTTGCCTTTACATTTTAACAACCTGGAAAGGTGCTCGGCACCCCTGTATCCTTTGAAGATAATGATTAGACACATGTGAACCCCACTTACATGCCCCACAGCTTTCAGCAGGGTACAAACCCCAGCTCCATTCTACAGCACATGAAATGTAGCATTAACACTGAGCAGATAAAGCAAAGCCGGTTCTTTTGGCTTATGTTTATGAATGTGGACAGGGAAGGTAGGCTAAACATAAGCTTGGAAAAACAGATAAATTCAGAAACAGAGACACCCAAGAAAAGCAGTCTGGAAATCGAAAACAAGAAATGACTTACAAAATGGTTCATCTGGAAGCATCCTGGGAAAGGGGGAGGAGTCAAAGAAGTCAAAAAGGCAATCATAACTGCATGATCAAAGTCCTTGCGTGTTATAAAAAAAAGGAGGAGGCATCAATCATATGGTTGTAGCCACCATCTTTACTTTTTTTTGACACACTCCCACACACACATACCCCTTCCCCCGTCCAGAAGCTTCCAGTTCATCCCCGAGTAACAAATAACAAATACACCACCTGTACGATTCTTCAAAGCCAAAGGGGAAAAAAATGTGAGAAAAAAGAGAACTTACCCATCGTATTTCTCTAGATGAATTTCAAGTAAGTTATCCTTAGCATGATTGGCATGTTCGGTGACTACATGAGGGGGAAAAAAGGGACCGGTAGTTTAAGACATATTTTTACAAGGACATGGATAAAATCAGCTACACTCAGGAAACAATTTTTGTGCCAGTATATTAGTTGAAAATATAAAACTAATATTGACGATCACTTAGAACGGTTTTGGTTGAGGTTCATTTCCACCCCCTTCCCCTGGCTAATGGAAAATGCTCCTCTGCCAAAGGCACTGAGAAACCCAAGCCTGATAAATTTATGGCTGAAGCCCCTGCTTCATTTGACTTTGTACTTTCTAAAAGATTCTTGTAATTTGAAAATAAAACTTGTGAGGATGCATGTTTATTTTCTTTGGCAACGTTTCTTTTATCATCACCAGTTTCTCCTTTTGTAAATGCCTGTGTCTACCATGGCAGTTCATTTCTGAAGGGGGTGAGATCTTCAAGACATCTCTCAAAACTGGAGTTTTGTTCAGCTAAAATGGATGAAGACACCCAGTGTCATGCCCTTGTTGGACTCTGAATCTGAGGAGGAAGCCGACAAGGAATGGGAGTGTGGCTCTGTTGGCTGTGGAGGAGGCTGGGGAAGGGCAAAGTCCGGCTGGGCAGAGCAGAGGAGAGATAGAACAAGGGAGAGGGAGTTCAGAGGAAGACCCAGGCCCACCCCCTCTTCATCCTAGGGCATGCAGGGAAGAACGTAGAAGAGAGCAACGTGGGTTGCGTGGCTTATGAGGGAGGAGACGGCCCTGATTCCCTTCATCAGCCACAGCTGGGAATACAGTTGATAAGAAAGGCAGGCTGGGTGTGGCAGGTTGCTGGGAGCAAACGTGACTTTATCCTGTGTTGTTGTGGCTTATCTGAGTTCCTGGCATCTTCCCAACTGTGTGAGTTTTGCCGTGCCTTCAAGTCTGAAATTCTTGCTCCTGCCCTGCCAAATTAATTACTTCAGTTTGGCTTGTTTGGACTTTAAGTTACAGTTTGTGTTGCTCGTGTTTTGGACTTAATTTTCTGCAGTCAAAGGCTGCTCCTGGGAGAGTTTTTCTCCAGCCAGAAGGTAACCTGGACATTGGGGGCAAAGTTGGAGATAATAAAGGGACTCTTACTGCTTATCTGACTGTGTTGTCTTCATGCCACACCCCGAGTCATCACACCCAGCAAATTTTATTTTATTACCTAAATCTATGAAATAGATTATTTAAATAGTAACTGCCCATTCAAATATATGATATTGGATAAATAACAGCTCGTTTACCTCTGGTCCAGTCTTACAGTGGTTAGTCAAATCTGTTTTAGAAGTGAAGATTTGGGACTAGAATGGGTTCAAACCTATCCACAGCACTGGAAATTCACAATTTGCCTAATACTGGTTACATTTCCTCAGCTCAAGTTACTTTCTAGATTTGTTTTTGTGCAGGTAATATGAAGAAATATAAGAAGAGATATACATTTATCAAATAAAATAATGGAGTGGAGGCATCTCCACCAGCATGAACCAAACAAAATATTAAAACGTTATGATATTTATGTAGTTACTTACCAATCACATCTAAATGACATTAAAGTAACTAAAATATCTTTACAATCCCCAAGGCATGTCACAACTTTTGAGCACCCCTAATGTTTGGAAATTGAAAGTTGAAAAATTTGACACGCCCCATGGTAGATAAACCATGTTGACCCAACATTAACCTGTCCAATAAGTGAGCTGTAGAAAACAATCTGCTCTGTAGTAGTCAACTTGGCAAATGCAATTTCTTGGGGCACATCCGTTGTTTCAGAGGGAGAAAATGAGCTATTACAGTAATATAACAAAGCTAGCATGAAGCAGTTGTATAAAAGAAAGCACTAAAAAAATCAACAGCTAAGTGGCAATCAAGTTCTTTAAAAAGAATAAATCAAAACCTCTGGAATGAAAATGCAGCTTTCGTTTAGCCAGTAAGGAGCAGAATCTTAAACAAACAGGCATTCAGAAAAAAAAAATAGTTATTTTATATTGATAGATAATTTGTGGGAGGTACTTAGCATCCTGCTTAATCACTTAGCATCCTGCTTTTGCTTAATCATTTAGAATCTTTTCTCAGCAATATAATAGTCATTGGGGTTTAATGAAAAGTGGCTCAGCAAGAGAAGAAGATGCTAAATTTCTACTTAGCAATATTGCTTCTCAAATGGTCTGCGGTATCTTGAAAACTGCCTGTGTGTATCAGGGCACTGCATGAGCCTCCTAGATCAGCGATGGCGAACCTTTTCAGCACCGAGGGCCCAACTGGAACGTGTGAGCATGCACACGCGTGTGCGCGTGCTGAGCACTGGAAACCTGAAGGCCAGCTGGCCGGTGCGTGCATGTCTGTTTTTTTAGCCATTTTGGGGGGCTGTTTTCAGGCTATTTTTCAGGGTCATTTTTGGCTGTTTTCCAGCTGCTTTGTGGCTGTTTTCAGGGCCATTTTCAGGCTGTTTTTTGGCCCAAAAAACAGCTTGGAAACCAGTGGTGGGATTCAATTTTTTTACTGCCGGTTCTGTGGGCGTGGTTTGGTAGGCGTGGCAGGGGAAGGATACTGTAAAATCTCCAGTCAGAGATGATAGTTGACGGTTCTCCGAACTAGTCAACATTTCTGCTACTGGTTCTCCAGAACTGGCCAGAACCTGCTGAATACCACCTCTCCTGGAAACGGCCTGGAAAAAGGCCTGAAAATAGCCCAAAAAGGGGCCTGTTTTTTGGCCTTTTTCCGGTGCTCTATCACCCACAAAAGACCAGCTGGCTGGCGCGCATGTGCGTGCCAGAAACCAGAAGAACAGCTGGTGACAGAGCACGTGCCCACCGAGAGGGCTCTACATGCCACCTCTGGCACGTGTGCCATAGGTTTGCCATCACAGTCCTAGATGATGGGATATTTTTAGTAATATGTCTCCAGATTAGTGACACAACTTTGATTGGAATTCTCTTTATGTAAACAAGCACCTTGGAGTTTCAATAACCCCAGAAACCACTTGCCAGACTATTTCTAAAAGTAACTTTCTCAAACTTAGTGCATTCTAAGTGCTTTAAATGTTTCTTCAGTATTTCTGGAGGGCACCGAATTGGGGAAATCTGCTCTATGAGGAAACTATAATGCTGTAATTCAAGGCAGTTATTTAGAGGATTCCGTAAACTCAAACGAATAACTCACCTATAACATCCGTAGAGATGGAAGCCAGACTAAACAACGGAGCCACTTTTTGTTCGTATATTTTTATTCCTTGTGATTTTCCACTGTGTGGATTAATATATACAAGCAAGCGCTTTGGTCTGGAGGCTGTCAACATGAAAGAGAGAAAGTGGGCCATGGGATTATTTGCCCTTTAGCTACTCTAGAAGTTGCTGAACTACAAATCTCTCTTTCTGCTCAGGAAAGGAAATCTAAAGCTAAGTCCATTTCAACTCAGGATTTCCCAGTCATTACTGAAAGATTTCCTGAGGGACGGCTGGCCAATAACTGAGTTCCATTACTGAGGTTTTCTCATTCTAAAGACATTTCTTCCAGCACTCAAATGCTATTTAAGCTCATTAGTCTGCCTAGAGAATAGATAAAACCTTGTTAAGAACTGTATTCTCCATGATGTCAATAGCCGGAGAATTGATCGGGGTGTCTTCATATATTCCAACTAAATACACCTTAGCTAGTGTAAAGACAAGGAGGCCCTTCTGCTGGTTGAAATAGAAGGATCTGCTTGCACTCGTGCAATTTCCCATCTTATTCAAAATGTAGGCAATAACAGTGTAAGGGAGCCGCGGTGGCGCAGTGGTTAGAATGCGGTATTGCAGCATTATTCTGCTCACTGCTGAATGCCAGCAATTCGAGTCTCACTGGCTTAAGGTTGACTCAAGCTTCCACCCTTCCAAGGTCTGTAAAATGAGGACCCAGGTTGTTGGGGATAATATGCTGACTCTGTAATCCGCTTACATAGGGCTGTAAAGCACTGTGAAGCGATATATAAGTCTAAGTGCTATTGCTAAAAGCTCCCATCATTACTGGCTTCATTTTTTTCCCCCTTCTCAGAAATTGGTTAGGCCCTGAAAGAAAAAATGAACCCAAAGGAAATGACAACATACTCTGTAAATCAAGTAGTTCTTTCAATGTACATATCCACTGATTACACAGATGTTCGTCAATGCACCAGAAAGTCACTTCGCTGCACCGCCAGCGGTGATGCCGTGCCCTCTTTATGTAATACACTGCAAAAGATACACATACACAAATAAAAAGAGAATCACAATTCCGTACAAGCAACGTTGCTCTCCAAATATAACAACATGTAGCATTTACACGACGCTTAAGAATTTGGAAAGAAATTCATGTCCAATAGTTGTTTAAGGCCACAGATCCTGAGAAAAAGAAAAAGGTTGCCACTCTGGGCAGATGGGCAAGAAATTCATCATTAGGTGATCCCTTGCCAATCTTTGAGATAGTGTCTTTTTCCATCGTCAGGAAATCTTAGTTGGACTAAATTTATTTGTACTGGTATAAAATATTTGCCCATCTTAGGGCAAAAGACACGGAATTCTGCTCCTTTTCTGCCTCCTGTCCTCCCAATTCCTACTGAATTTGTGAGTGGCTAGAGCTATTCACCAAAAAGTAGTCTTACTAAACAAAGCCGTGAGAGAGCTGTGAAATTTGATTTAAGTTTAAATTAGTGGGGGGTTGTTTTTTTTCAAACTTCATGACTTTTTAGATGTGTAAACTTCAACTTCCAGAATTTCCTAGCCCACATGTCAGTTAGGGAATTCTGGGAGCTGAAGTCCACATACCTTAAAGTTGTCAAGATTGAAAAAGAGTGATTTAAACTGAATCAGACAAGTTAAATAAGGTTCAATGCATCCCATGCATTAAAGAGTTTCCCCTTTTCATTCTGTTCAAAATCACATTTCAGCACAAACTATTGGAGAGTTATTTATATTTCTAAGGTTTCTAGGGGAATGTATACAGTCCACAGCAACTTTACTAACTTATCTGAGAAAATAACTGAGGGCCAGGGTTATGGTTGAGGTGTTGGATTAAGACTGGGGAGATCCAGGTTGTAATCCCCCTTCATCCACAGATGTTTCTCTGGGTGACTTTGCATTGGTCCTTTATTCCTCCCCCGTCCCATCTTGCAAGGTTGTTGTTGTGAAAAAAATAAATAAGATGAGGACATACGAAGTACACTACCTTCAGCTAAATGAATAAGCAAGCGATTCAGTCTTGTTTTCTGCATATTATGCATGGATGAAGAGAAAAGAAAAGCAGGATATGTTGGCTATGGAGAGTTGACTGATTTATTATATATCTAACCCACTTGTTTCTCTGAGAATTCCAAGGTGGAGGGGCTCCCTCATTTTATTCCCATAACACCCCGTAAAGATAGACTGAATCCAGACAAGCTCTCTGTTATTAAGTGGGGATTAAACCTGGTGCCTATGGCTCAAATCCAATACTCAATCATTACATTATATCAAAACGACATAAATTTATTTGGGATTCCATTTTTTTCCCCAGTCATTAATTTAGAGAAACTTTTTGTGATATGGAAGAATCAGAGAAATTGGTTGAGGTTTCCCAATTAAAATTATGTTATACAAAGCAAGGAGACCGTGCTTTTAAATCTGTAAAAAAGGTAACTTTTGTCTTGTGTAAAAAAGAATATTTCACGGCTTAAGAAAACCATTTGTCACACATAGTCATGCATGCGAGTTTTCAATGTGCAGAGAAAAAAAAAGGAAACTAACGATTTGGGCACTTAGGTTTATTCATTCATTTAGTTGTCTAGGTTGGACAAGTTATATCATCAATGCAGAATATTTGATTATCGTTGGATATCATGCAAATGAGCAACGTGGTGACCTAGTGGTGAAAACTCTCGCCTCTTACTCAGAAGGTAGAGGATTCAATCCTAGGTAGTGGCAGATGTTTCTCTTCTAGAACACAAAGAAAACAATATCTGCTGCGAACTCCGCATAGGTGTCAGGAAGGGCATTCAGCCAGCAAATGCTCAGCTCCACCCAGTCGCCCCGACTTTACCCCGAATTAAGGGATTATAGGGTCATAAAGAGAGGTTATTGTATGTTGTGTAAAAAACTATAAAAGTCAGGCAAATGTTACTCTGCGGCATTTACGAAAGTCTTGAAAACGGAACACGCGGCATGACAGAAATTCAGAGTTCAAGGAGCCAAATAGCAAGAGATGAACTATGAAAATGAAAAATAGAATGATTTGTCTTTAAAAGACATCTTAATAATCTCCTTTCTGCAAAGAAGGATTTCTGCATAGAAATAATTTTGGATGCTCCATTGTAGCAAAAGTGGGGGAAAGGCTGAATGAATTCAGATCTTCTGTCAAGTAATAACTTCGTTCAATTGGCATGTAACCTCTTGATAAGGCAGTCACAACTGTAGCTCCTGCAGAAGAGGAACTTTAAATTTCATCAAGATAATTTCCTCTTCTCTCTCTCTCTCTCTCTCTGTGTGTGTATGTGGAGGCTCAGGAAGTTATGTGAAGCCACCACCTTGTTTGGTTCCATATATTATGCAAGCATGTTAACAATTTTAAAACTATTTGCACTAAAAAGTGGCTTATTTTCTTTACCGGTGAATGCATGAGGCTTTGTCATTTTCTGCCATCTTCCAGGTTGAGACTGTTTCTCCTCCCTTTCTTTCTCTTCAACAGCAATGATTTCAGAAATGGGCACAGCATAGTTCTCTGCAAAAAAAAAAAAAAAAAAAGGAAGAGTTGAAAAATAAAAAAAACCCAGCCTAGCTCAGGGGTGTCAAAGTCAAGGCCCGGGGGGCCTGGTCGATCTGACCGGCGGGACCGCCCTAGAAACAGTGAAGGACCGGCCCGCAGTGCTTCTGCCAGCAAAAACAGAGCTTGGGAGGGTTGCACTCCCAAGCTCCGTTTTTGCTGGCAGAGGGTTGCAGGAGGCCGTTGCAGCTGAAATGGAGCTCAGGAGCCCATTTTTGCTGGCACTGTGTTCGGGCCACCACAGGCGCCTCCGACATGAGTGATCTCAAGCTGGCCATGCCCACAATGGCCAGCGTGTGAAGCATCCGGCCCACAGGCCGTGAGTTTGACGCCCCTGCATTAGATGAAGACAACATCTCTCTCTCACTCATTCAATCTTTTTTTCCAGGCTCTGCAGGAGTTTTAAGAGTTACACTAAAGATACGCCGCTTTCATGCTTTGAGTGAAAATTGTAAGGCCCGAAGCAATTTTTTTCCTCCCAAATCATTTTTAAAGCAAGAACAGCCCTAAGTAATTATGCCAAGAGAATAATGAGATTTAGACTGAAATGAAAACCAGCACAAGGCAGGTTCTTGCTACTAAAATTTATGAGTTTATGAGGATATCAGCTTTATAAAAGGAAAGAACAATTGCAAGCAGCCAAGTTCTATGCATAAAATCTATTCTTCACACCTTTGAGTAAAATTTAGAATATGGATCTCTGTCTTATGGTTCAGTATAACTGCCCAAAGTCCCTCCTTGAGGGAGATGGGCAGTTTAGAACCATGGAGTATAAAACAAACAAATGTATACCATGGCTGTCAAAAACAGGACTTTTTATAAGAGGTGAAAAAATAGAATGGGGGGGAAAAACTGTCAAATGATCTTCTCCAAAAACAAACAAACAAACAAACAAACCCTGCTTTAAAAATACGTCAGTAAGTGCTACTACGTGCATTCATTTATTCATGATTTGTTCAAATCCACATAGTTGCCTAGTTCTGGAAAGCCTGCGTTTAGCTAAATTCTGTTTGCTTAAAAAACAACAATGAACTGCAAACACGGAGCTTATTTTAGCTCTGAATCCATGCATAGCAACCAGTGTCTTAATCCTGATACAAAGCTGCGTCTCTGACTCCTGACTGATTAAAGTAGTATGTTTTATTTAGACCTAGCAATTTTAAAATGAACGGATTTTAACATTTGGCTGGGAAATTCCACTGGCTGAAGTCCACTCATCTTAGAGTTAAAAATTTAAATGTGCGTGTGTGTGTGTGTGTAATATTATGTACATGTGTATGTGTATGTGTATGTGTGTGTGTATGTATGTGTGTGTGTATA